AGGAAGATAATGGTTGAGAAATGTTGGGGAACAATATGGTTTGGGGCCTGGGGTCGACTGCTGTCATACGCAAGTAGCCCGATACGTGAATCCATCGGGACTTTATTGCTCTTGTACAAACACTACAGTCACATTACGCAGGACCCAACTTGGCCAGCTAGGAAATACGCATATTTAGTCATTTAGTGGGAAAAAAAGGTGGCAAACCTACGCGTTTGCAGGTGACTGGAGGGATCATCAACCTTCAAAAACGGATGATTTTCCACTGACATCCATTGACGGACAACCATAGCACTGGGATCTGGCCAATTTCAATATTTCATGAACCTTAAGAGGTTTGCCCAGTGAGGTTTTTTTCACCTTCCTTATTTTGCCTAGACGGAGATTTTGACCTCCGAGCACTAGGCTGCCGTGCGCCTGTGAAGACCGCCAACACCGAGGCGGACAGCAGGGTCCGCGTCCACAGCCGCAGGTTCCGTGCGGTGACCACCGCCACGAGCCACAGCAGTGGCATGGCCAACATGGCTAGGTCCAGGGGAAGACTGGAGGCCTCCAAACATGTCCAAAGGATGTGCAGTTGACCTCTGAGTCTGGTGGTTGGGGGGTTTATGAAATTGTGTTTATCGCCAGAAATGACGATGTAAGCAGCAAACAATCGACGTACAAAATATTTTCAATGAAAAATACTTTTTAGGTGTGAAGTAAATACCGGCTGGTTTGAATTGGACATATGATGAAATATGGGCTAAATCAGGATTGGAACGTGCCCGCCACCAGGCAGCAGAAATGGGATGTATTGTATTGACAATAAAAATCTGCAAAATTTACTTTAAATTCAAAACGGTTTCCTCGTCTTAAATCTACTTTTCCCCTCTGATTAAATCTTCAGTCCTCGCCTCGTTACATTCAAAACGGATTTCAGCCCTCGTCCCATTTCTTTCTCGACCGCAAGCCATTCGAACTAGTCCTCTGCCTCCTTTTGGGTTGAACTTGTTTGAACTATCTTTGTCGTCGTTGCAGCAACGCTCTGGGCTCCAGAGGCTTGGGGATGCTGAAAAAACTTTTCAGGGCCTAAAAAGTTTTTTCCTGTTTCCGAGATGCCTCTTTTACAAGGGTCTCGATTCCCCCCAAATTCGACCCCAGAGAAGAGAAGCTGCAGCAGCAGCACCAAGATACCCCGCTACACCTCAAGCTTTAGCAATTTTAGAATCTAGTCGCGCTACTTGGGTTGAAAGGTGAATAAGAACTATTGACCAAAATTTCAGGGTTCCCTAGGGTTCTTATTTCAATTAGCTGGTAGACAGAGTTGAACCCAGCAATCCAGCCCCTGAGGTTCTTAATGCAGTGGGTTCTTAAACAGTGGTTTCACTGTAGAACAAATACGGAAGTCCTGGAACAACCGGGCATGCCACCACAGGGCACTGACTGAAATTACGATAAAAAAAACTTTTCGGGCTCCAGAAAGTTTTTTTTTCACGGGGTCTGAATGCACCCTTAATTTTCTATTTTTTCCCTCTGATGGGAACAAAAAAACTTTCTGGAGCCCGATTTTTTTTTTCACTCGTTGCACATGCTTTGAATGCAATTTCTGCCCACCTCGTTTTCTGAATTTAACTAATTCACCTCGCTTAATTTGCAAAGATTCACCTCGTACCTCGTCAGCCCTCGCTCTAAATTATGCAGAAAAATGTAGCGATTTCAATGGGTATTGGGCATGCAGCATCAAAATGTGTGAATGTCAGTGAGCATCTCGAAAAAGAAAAGCCTATCATGTTGTGATATTGGTTAACGCCGGCTTGGTATTTAGCACTGTCCCACGATCAGGTGGACATAGTATTTCTGTAAATATACATGCATAGGTTACAATGCATGCAAATACATATCATTACATATCTATCTTTATGTATATACATGTATTAGGGCTTGTCCAATGGACATGTTGAAGAAAGGTGGCGACTCAATTTGAGTAGTGGAGATATGTGGAGATGACTTCATTCAAAGCAAACCCATTAACGTTCTCCATCCTCAGGAGCAATATTCAATAGTCAAGAGGTATGTGAAACCTCCAAGAAGAATATCCGCCCGTTTTCAGGCGTCATCGTTTTCTTGTAACGCCTATATAATCTTGGAGGCCCTGAAAACTAGCAGCTTTTTGGTGGGGTTGTTCACCCATTTCAAGCCAAAAAATATCCCGGCAAGAGACCCCAACCAGTGTGGGGGGAGCAAGGGGGTAATGCATTATAATGTTGATGATGTTAATGTTGATGATGATGGTCATGATGATGGTGATGTTGATATTGATGATGATGATGATGATGGTGGCGATGATGATGGTGATGAGACTGCTGATAATGATTGTGATGATGACGATGATGATGACGATGATGATGACCATGACGATGACGATGATGATGATGGTGATGATAATGATGATAATGATGATAATGATGATGATAATGATGATAATGATGATGATGATGGATGGATGATGATGATGATGGTGGTGGTGGTGGTGATGATGATGATGATGATGATGATGATGTGGATGTGGATGATGTGGACGCGCGAGCCTGCGCAGCCGAAATACAAATTAACATTTCACAAGGGCCATTTTGTGTGGAAATTTACAGGACCAGCGGCGTACGCCAATCCCGCGACACCCGTTTTTGTGCGAGCGAGCCTGCGCAGTCGAAATGCACATGGACATGTCACAAGAGCCATTTTGTACGGAAATTTACAGGGTAAATGCCGGACGCCCCGGATACCACCTCGATTGAACACCGGGCCTTAACTGTTACCGTAAGAACCCCTCAGTGTGGCCACACTGTTTGGGACAAAATCCATTGACTTACCTTTCACCAGGCGAGATTTCCATGATGCACCATCGAAGGCAAAGCCTCCTTGATTCCCAATGTGAATGCAAAGGTGTCGCGAGGTTGTAGCAACCTGGCGAAGCAACTGAGGCTACAAGGCACCATGGCTGGTGATGTTTGTGGGGAACACTAGGCAAGGCAACCTCACCATGTATCAAGCCTACCTGACATCAGTGGCATCTCTATGAGACAATAGCCTACGAACGATAGTTTGTTTGTCCACCCTCCTGCATATCTGAAATCGCAGACTTTTTGCGCTTTCCCATTGCCCATTTCAGAAAGGAATTCCTTCTCCCAGGCTCTTTCACCAAATCGAAGGCGTATGTAAGTGTATATGCATGCACACATATATATATATATATTATATTATATATATAACAGCACTATAGATAGATTAATATGTCCTCCGCGAAAGCTATTCGCGTTTCCTTGAACTTTAAGGGGAATCATGGTTAGCTGGATCGCTCAAGACCTTTTCACATCCAGAAACATCAGGTCCAGTAGATAATAATCTGAGAACATGATCTTGTTGCTGTACACTTGACTTGACCAATATGCTAACCGAGGAATCATACAAACATTTGAGCCCAACAAACAAATCAACAATCAGTTGCCTGGCTGCAACCCATGCCCAAAATCTGATTGATTGGTATCATCATCCCAGCCTGGAGCAGCTACCCTGGGAACCCAAGATCAAAAGATATGCACACACTACGTTTCATTCGACCCATTCTAGTTTAAGAAAAACACTCCAACTGTTCGCCTCATGCTCAATTCTAGCTCCCGAGGGTCCGATGGGCCATCCTGGCAGCACACATCTTAAACATGGTGCCCTGGGGTCTGACAGGATTGAAATCGGCATGATTCCGCCAACAGTTGCAAGATGCTGCAAGTTGCACGGGATTCAGGGGGTTTCATGTAATGGTGGGACTTTCTATATGGGGCTATCATCGAGGGCCCACATGGGAGTCTTGGAGCGTTGGATGCATTAAAACTGTGGGTCTGCGTGGGCTGGTACATGGTGTGTCAAAATGTCTGGGCCACTTGCCCTTTTTTGGGAGGAACACATCCTATGATTGAGGCTTTTCAAGTTCAAGCCACTGTGCAACACACAAGAACTGGTAATTCCTTTTTGTCCCTCCTATGCGTATACATACAGTGTATATATAGTTATACAATGTTATACATAGTTATACTATGTTATACTACTTGCATAATATAATTATATGCATATATTATACAAATATGCACGTTTGTAGGATACATATGTAACACAATATCTTTCTTTCACCCTGTTTGTGTGAGAAACTGGCGAAGGAGCCATCAAAGCATCACACCTGCAACTTGACGACCCACTGGACATAGCGTCGAGTCGCCTAGGTTTGGGTCGCCCTGCGTTGGCCTACTTTGAAAAAAAAGGTGAAATATTTGGGTAGAAAACCCACGTCCTGTAACAAAATGCGCAACGGTTTCCACACATATTCATTTAACACCATTGACCTACAGGTCAGAGGGGTGCTGAGACTCACAGGTGGAGAGATTCTTTACAAAGGGAAAAATCCATCAATTCCATCCCCTCTTTTTTGGGAAGTGCCATCATATGATGCCTCAGCTACATCGAGGTATCTTAGAAAGCAACATTGAGAGAATGACCCTGAGTCCAACAACTGTGCATCAAACTAACCTACTAATGGAGATGAGGGCAACCAAAGCAAGTAATGATTTTAGCAGCACATGATTGGGGAAGTCTTCATGTGACACAGTTCAAGTAAGTCTGGGCATGCTGATATATGTTGAATTAATTAGTATATAGGTTCTGTTCAGTATTGTTTTGACATGTATATATATATATATATTGGTTGTAAAACTATACCTCATGTGATCCTCTTAACAAGGATGGGGGCGGATAGTGAAGGATCAGGTCGGGAACCACTGTGACCAAAGCAATCAGCCAGGCTCGTCAATACACCTCACCAGAATCAAACAAGAATCTCCCCATGTATTTTCCCATGTATCTTTGCCATTGCACACTTCCCCAACCTCACCACGTGGGTCACGATTCTTGCGGGGGATCACTCTCTCTCTCTCTCTTTTTTCTTTCTCTCTCTCTCTCTCTGCCGCCATGATGCAAAGTAGAGAGCAACGCTTTGCAGGAACATGGCCTCGACAGGGGTGCGGTGCCCCTTCTGTCATCCCCGCAACTGCCAGTTGAGGGTTCCCAGAATGATTCAACATGATTTTACATACGCGACATACAGAAAGCCCTTACCAAACGTAGTGCAATGCAACCCCCGAATCATCAAGCAAAGGGCGGTTTGTGGATGGCTAGCAATTGTCCAAAAGATACTTTCACATCATAGATAGATTCAGAATGATTCAGATAGATATTTTCCCTTGGCATGTTAACAATCTTCGCTCACAGGAGGTTTTCCAAGTCACAAAGAATGGACAGCAACTCTGACTTCGTAAGCACAACCTCCCTGAAAATCCGAAAGGTAGAAAGGGTTGAGCCCCTCCAAAACAGATGCTGCGGGCTGCAGGGGCTGACAGATTGGCCAAGTTCCCATCAGACCAACGCACTTGGTACACAATCAGCAAGCATAGTCCATTCCCTTGGACCTACACCGATTAAACTACTGTAATTATTTGAACAAACGCCCCAATGCCAACAACAATGCATATATGCACATATATATATATATGCATATATCATTTATATATAATATATACACATATTTATGCGACCTCAAGATTTGTTGGCAAGGGTTCAAAGAAAAGGCCGAAAGCCATGCACGGGGCAGCCCCAACAACCCAAGGGCCCCACCGATAAGAAAAGGAGGCCAACGGAGAGCCACTTCCACTGACGAACCTGCGGCAAATAGCTACTCTACATCATGCTGAATCTGGGTTTCTAGAGTTTTGCCAACAAATCAAACTGCCACATTGCCCTCAGATGGAATAGTATTGTCATCACTTTTCAGAATTGACTTGGTCATGAACAAATGCCATGCTTTGTTGCAACAAATCAAAAGCCTCCGAATCATAAGCAGCATATCCAATCCAGTAAAGTCCCCGACCAAATCAAATGTTTTGTTTCAATACATTTCAATGATATATCTTTTATGGTTGAATCTTGCTCTTGCAAGGACATTCCATGCTTGTTGATCTGCAACTTCATTGAATTGTCGGTAATTACAAGTACTTTGGAGTCTCTGGAGCAGATTATTCATATCCTCAAATATCAACTGGCATGTTCAATGACTTTCTGCCTGTGTGTGATCCAATTTGGCAAACTGGCGAACCTACACGCTCCCCCTCAACGAAAAATCAACCTTTCAAAAACTACCGACATCTTCCTATCAAAATGGTGCCCCCCCTTTCGAAGGCTTTCTCCTGATGGCCATCCCAACGCCTTGGTTTCCGCCGCCCAGAGGCGCTTCGCCAACATGCTGCCCGGCTTGCGCTCGCTGGGATCCTCCATTGGAACATGTTGGAAACCGAGGGGAGAAAACCGGTGAAAACCGCAACAAGTCCTATTTGGATAATCCCTGAAGAAAGGTTAAGGAAGCACTTATTCGAAATGGAAGTTGCAAGCGATTTCCAGGTGGAACATCCAAGTGGGACATAGCCTTGTGTACTTTAGTCAGTCAACCTTTACTGGTGGGTTGCGCCCAGGCTTCTACCTATTCAAAACTTACCCGACTGAAGGTAGCTTTATAAAACTGGACAATCTGACCCAGGAAAATACCTATATACTTAAATGATATGTCTAAATGTTGCAACTTGGCGGAATTCTTTGTTACTCCAGGACGGTCGTATAATTTCTACCAGAAACCTCAAAGATAAAAACAAATGAGCTCAAATGGTTATTTCCTCATGGTAGGGAGTGTTCTCCACATGAATGGCCGGAAATAGGGTCTACCTGTAGTCCCCCATGCCTCCTCATCCTCAGTTCTTTCAATAAAATTATTGGACATATGATATGTAATCATATGTATATAGTTGTTTGGGCTCCCACGCCTATGTCTTTCCAGGAAAATACAGGGGGTTACTTTCACGTGCTGTTTGCCATCATCTATCGATTGATTGTTAAGCATGAGGTTCTACCCTTAAATCATGAAGGCGATTGAGATCGGAGCATTATCTGGGTCTACCATTTTTCCAACTGCAAATCGAAACACCAGTCATTCTCTAGTTTCAACGAAGATCAAGTCAAAACAATATGATGAACAGGCTTGGCTACCATTAGGTTTGGCATATCCTTTACCATTGCCTTACACACCACACACTGCAAGAAACACAACTTTTAGTTGCCAAGGATGTTATTTACTCAAGGAGAAAGAACCCCCCAAGCTAACTCAGCATATCTCAGCATCAACGATGCAGGGATCATTCCAGCGCCCTGTTTTCCCGGCGTCCGCATCCAGCTCGTCGAAGTCAAAGTCCGGCGCGGTGCCGGGAGGGCTGGCCTCCCAGGTGCTCCCAGGTGCGGATTCTGCAAAGAGAAACGCCGAAACAATTGGGACGTCTGACAACATGACTTAACCGGACTTAACCATCTTAAATTGAAATTTAACCAGCAAAAATGATCAAAAATGTAGGTTCAAGCAACAAACATGGGGATATCGCCGGCAAAACATTCAGAATTTGCCAGAAAACCTATGTCCTGGGTTTAACTGGCAAAGCCTGAACAAAAATAGGAGGTGAATCAGCAAACATAGGGGGTGTACCCATCAAAGGATAAGAGGGAACTTTTCGTCCGGCAACCTAATATTGTTTGCTGGAAAAGCACCATGTGCATAGAATTTTCTAGTTCCAAATGATCCAATTTCCACTACCGTGTTCCCTTTCCAAAGGATTTATTATACGAATAGAGTATGGGTCATGAACCTAAGCACTACCAGCTAAATAAAATAGATGATTGGCCCAGCTATGACTAGCTCGGTGGTTATTTGTTCTTATGATTTTATAATGAACTTTTGCCAGCCGGCCAATCCCAGTCGCAATCCCAATGGTGCGTTGTATGGGCACGAACTTTCAATTCCATTTGATAACCCCACTAATAATATCTAACAACCGGGGGCCTTTTTAGCAGGGTTCCGTAAAACAATCCCAATTAACTCCTCAACAAACAACCTGTTCCGGTGGTGCCCACTTCAGATCTAGGAAGGGGCTGTTCATTGATGGCAGGAGATTGACAAGGCGTCTGGCCATGAATAATGATAAGCCTAAGATACACATAATATCCTGTACGATTCCAAGGCTGATTGTGCAATAAGTCTTGCCATTTGATTGCAATGATAGCTGTGGTGGTTCCAATGCGTGAGGGATCAACAATCGTGAGAACCCAAAGCATACTGGATTCCGAGAATTTCTTGTTTATTCAACAAGGAGATACCCTTCCACTGGTGTTTATGAATCTACCAACTACCAATCCCAAGACCAGTTGAAGGGAAACGCTTCACAACAGTACAATTTCATATAATTTCCTGGTGGGTGTTCCCTTTGTTCCCTTCCTCAAATCCACGCAGTGAAGGAACCCACCGCTGGTCGAAATCTGCTGCACCTCTTCTCTGGGCGCCTGGCGGGGCTGGGTGCTGAAGTGCCCTGCCGCATCGGCGGCCTCATAGCCTCAATGGTCCGATAGGAGCTTCACAGGAATTAGACAGCCAACATTTGTCCTATTAATTTTGAATTTGTTTTTGTTTTATTTGGGGTTGGAAACTCCCCAAGTCCATAGGCATCATGGTTGATCATCTATTCCCAATCAACATTGCCATTTTGGGAGTATCCGCGAGCAAAAACCAAAATACATCAAATACCAATAAACAACGTGTGATAAACATAACTGGTGGAATTGATGGAGTTAGGATTGATGGTTGGTGAGCGGGGTACAAACCAGTGTATCAATCGACGGGTTGTTTCGAACATTTGACCATCCAATCTTTGAGAACCCACATGGGACCCATACCCAAGAATGTTCTAGATGACTAGATGTTCTAGCACGTATGAAAACACATAAAGCAGTTTAAAAGCAACCGTAATAATGTATGTATACAATATATATATATATATGTATATAATATAACATTATATAACATTGCATAATAACCCGGTCCTGGGCCCTCCTACTGTACCCCCGTGCGCAACTCCGCACCACATTACCACCACGACCCTGCCCCAGCCACTCAAACACTCCTTGGTATGAATCTATTTGCTAAACGGACTGGAGATATATGGCCAAAACATATCAAATGGTCAAAACATGCCAAAACATTGTCATGTTTGGGGTTGTGTCATCCCACGTTGCCACAGTGATAAACAATTTCCATCAGCTAGAGGGATTTTCTAAGGCCCAGATTTGAAGCAACCATTAATCATTTGAATCAAGAGACCTCCGACCAAATGAATCGTTTAATGAGAAGTTTCACACGCGAAATGGACAATTGATGAAACATCATGGAACATCAAGAACGCAAGCCCTAGGTGTGAGTTTGATGAATTCAAACAACAAAGAAAGAATGATTGTGAAGACGACTGCTATCTATCTTAAACAAGCTTCCCGGGGATGGAAAAAACCACTAACCCCACGGAAACAAACATCAAATTGTGATGATACATGCAAAAAAGGATAGACAACGATAAATATCGATAAATGCCAGCATCCTGTCAATGCAGCTAGGAATTAGCATCGACTGAACATGATGCTGGCGATGGCAATGGCGATGACAATGACGATCATGGTGACGATGACAATGATGCTGACGCTGACGACGACGAGGAGGATGATGATGATTATTATTATGATGTTGATGTTGATGATGTTGATGATGATGATGATGAATATGCTGATCCTGACGCTGATATATGCTATCATATGCTGATGATACCGACTGTGATCATGGTGAACATGACAATCTTGAGTAATTATCTAGATATGTCTGAATGAGATGTTGAACTTGATTTTGATATATTGTATGAATGGCTATCATGGTGTGGCTTGATCACAGTGAACGAAGAAAAGGAGTCAACATCAGTGGGAAAAACAAGACGCTGGGGAAACGACCTGCCATGGCTTGGTTGCAGCGCGGGGCTTCTTCCAATCCGCCCGTGTAATCACCCGACCATTGGGCTGCAATGGGTTCCAATGGGTTCCAATCTAAGAGCACTGATTGGTGGCCTCACTCAAAATTCCATTAAGTAGATCACCCGAGGTCCGGAGGTGGAAATTACAAGCGAGCTACCAACCAGGTCATGTCATCTAGCCCCAGGTCTTTGAATTTGTCACAACGCCTGTAAATCATTGATTGCATCCTGAACTTTGCGACAAGGCAACTAGACATGACACACTCAAGGCTTAGCATCTGTTTCCATGGCGCGACTGTTGGTTATGGCACAGGGTAGCCATCATGTCCTGAAATGGGGGATACATTTTGCGGTAGGTTCGGCATACGAGTTGCCATTATATTAGTTATTTTGGTGGTGAACCTTGGGGGGTTGCGGATCTATCTTACTGTATCCCGTCAAGCACTGGGACAAGGACATCTGTGCGCTGATTGACATAGGGTCGCCCTCCATTCCTACCACTGCCAGCTGAAAATGCCAAGCTGTCATTCTCCAGGTCCAGTGAAGCTGATGCATGCCATGGAATGAACCCAGAGGGACAATGCACGTGGACAAGGTCAATGCACCTGATTGTTCCAACCCTCTGAAACATGTTTATTGGCAAACATTGTCCCTCTAGCTTGACGCGAACTCTCGTAATCATTGAAAACTGGTTCTCATCGAAAACAAAATCGTGGCTGAAAAACTAAGAACTAGAAATACCTTCAACTTTGGACATCTAAAATGGCTGAATGGGAACTCATCCGGAAATTGATTTTCATGGTAACGAGGGGTTCTGGTTTGTTTGACCGCTACCCATTTCATCCAAGGTTTGAGACAATATATATATATATATATATATATATATATATCCGCCGACCCCAGCCATCTGCAGGGGGAGCGCGTCCGAGGAGCACCCAGAGATTCTCTAGTGGCTTCGTGCGACTTGCTTGTATAGGCATGTGCCGGGCCTTGGCCCAGGCTTGGCTTCAAAGGCTCTGCAGCGCCCTTGGCCCGGCAGATGCTTCTCTCCTGGCTTCAGAAAGCAACGTTAAGCAGTAGCCTGCCTACAAACGCTCCGCAGCGCCCTTGCCGGCGCTTTTGGCAGCCTTCCGTAGCTTGGCCTTAAATGCTTCCCGGCGCCTTTGGCCATCTGCCGGGCGCTTTCACTGAGATTTTCTACTGGCTTCAGAAAGCGACGTTAGGCAGTATCCCGGCACCCTTAGCCATCTGCCGGGCGCTGTCCTGGAGATTTTCAACTGGCTTCAGAAAGCAACGTCAGGCAGTAGCCTGGCCTTAAATGCTTTTCCGGCGCTGTAGCCTGGCCTTAAATGCTTCTCGGCGCCCTTGGCCATCTGCTGGGCGCTGTCCCTGAGATTTTCTACTGGCTTCAGAAAGCAACGTGAGGCAGTAGCTCTGAGATTTTCGACCGGCTTCAGAAAGCAACGTTAGGCAGTAGCCTGCCTACAAACGCTCCGCAGCGCCTTTGCCGGCGCTTTTGGCCGCCTTCCGGCTCCTCCGCGCGCCTTTCGCCATCTGCCGGGCGCTTCCTTCGAGCTTCTCCAGTGGCTTCAGAAAGCAACGTTAGGCAGTAGCTTGCGTACAAACTCTCCGCAGCGCTCTTGCCGGCGCTTTTGGCAGCCTTCCGTAGCTTGGCCTTAATGCTTCCCGGCGCCTTTGGCCATCTGCCGGTAGGCAGCAGCCTGGCCTTAAATGCTTCCCGGCGCCCTTGGCCATCTGCCGGGCGCTTTCCTTGAAATTTTCTACAGGCTTCAGAAAGCAACGTGAGGCAGTAGCCTGGCTTTCAATGCTTCCCGGCGCCCATCTGCCGGGCGCTGTCCTGGAGATTTTCAACTGGCTTCAGAAAGCAAGGTTAGGCAGTAGCCTGGCCTTAAATGCTTCCCGGCGCAGTAGCCTGGCCTTAAATGCTTCTCGGCGCCCTTGGCCATCTGCCAGGCGCTGTCCCGGAGATTTTCTACTGGCTTCAGAAAGCAACGTGAGGCAGTAGCCCTGAAATTTTCTACTGGCTTGAGAAAGCAACGTTAGGCAGTAGCCTGGCCTTAAATGCTTCCCGGCGCCCTTGGCCATCTGCCGGGCGCTTTTTCAACTGGCTTCAGAAAGCAACGTTAGGCAGTAGCCTGGCCTTAAATGCTTCCCGGTGCAGTAGCCTGGCCTTAAATGCTTCCCGGCGCCCTTAGCCATCTGCCGGGCGCTTTCCCTGAGATTTTTTACTGGCTTCAGAAAGCAACGTTAGGCAGTAGGCTGGCCTTAAATGCTTCCCGGCGCCCTTGGCCATCTGCCGGGCGCTTCCCCTGAGATTTTCTACTGGCTTCAGAAAGCAACGTTAGGCCTTGGCCCAGGCTTGGCTTCAAAGGCTCCGCAGCGCCCTTGGCCCGGCAGATGCTCCTCTCCTGGCTTCAGAAAGCAACGTTAGGCAGTAGCCTGCCTACAAACGGTCCGCCGCGCCTTTGCCGGCGCTTTTGGCCGCCTTCCGGCTCCTCCGCGCACGCCTTTCGCCATCTGCCGGGCGCTTCCTTCGAGCTTCTCCAGTGGCTTCAGAAAGCAACGTTAGGCAGTAGCTTTCGTACAAACGCTCCGCAGCGCCCTTGCCGGCGCTTTTGGCAGCCTTCCGTAGCTTGGCCTTAAATGCTTTCCGGCGCCCTTGGCCATCTGCCGGGCGCTTTCCCTGCGATTTTCTACTGGCTTCAGAAACCAACGTTAGGCAGTAGGCTGGCCTTAAATGCTTCCCGGCACCCTTGGCCATCTGCCGGGCGCTTTCCCTGAGATTTTCTACAGGCTTGAGAAAGCGACGTTAGGCAGTAGCCTGGCCTTAAATGCTTCCCGGCGCCCTTGGCAAATTGGCAATCTGCCGTGCGCTGTCCCTGACATTTGCGACTGGCTTCAGAAAGGAACGTTAGGCAGTAGCCTGGCCTTAAATGCTTCCCGGCGCCCTTGGCCATCTGCCGGGCGCTGTCCCTGAGATTTTCTACAGGCTTCAGAAAGCAACGTCAGGCAGTAGCCTGGCCTTAAATGCTTCCCGGCGCCCTTAGCCATCTACCGGAGATTTTCTACTGGCTTCAAAAAGCAACGTTAGGCAGTAGCCTGGCCTTAAATGCTTCCCGGCGCAGTACCCTGGCCTTAAATGCTTCTCGGCGCCCTTGGCCATCTGCCGGGCGCTGTCCCTGAAATTTTCTACTGGCTTCAGAAAGCAACATGAGGCTTAGCCCTGAAATTTTCGACTGGCTTCAGAAAGCAACGTTAGGCAGTAGCCTGGCCTTAAATGCTTCCCGGGGCAGTAGCCTGGCCTTAAATGCTTCTCGGCGCCCTTGGCCATCTGCCGGGCGCTGTCCCTGAAATTTTCTACTGGCTTCAGAAAGCAACGTGAGGCAGTAGCCGTGAGATTTTCTATTGGCTTCAGAAAGCAACGTTAGGCAGTAGCCTGGCCTTAAATGCTTCCCGGCGCCCTTGGCCATCTGCCGGGCGCTGTCCCTGACATTTTCTACTGGCTTCAGAAAGGAACGTTAGGCAGTAGCCTGGCCTTAAATGCTTCCCGGCGCCCTTGGCCATCTGCCGGGCGCTTTCCCTGAGATTTTCTAGTGGCTTCAGAAAGCAACATTAGGCAGTAGCCTGGCCTTAAATGCTTCCCAGCGCCCTTGGCCATCTGCCGGGCGCTTTCCCTGCGATTTTCTACTGGCTTCAGAAAGCACAGTAGCCTGGCCTTAAATGCTTCCCGGCGCCCTTGGCCATCTGCCGGGCGCTTTCCGTGCGATTTTGCTACTGGCTTCAGAAAGCGACGTTAGGCAGTAGCCTGGCCTTAAATGCTTCCCGTTGCCCTTGGCCATCTGCCGGGCGCTTTCCTTGAAATTTTCTACAGGCTTCAGAAAGCAACGTGAGGCAGTAGCCTGGCCTTAAATGCTTCCCGGCGCCCTTAGCCATCTGCCGGGCGCTGTCCTGGAGATTTTCAACTGGCTTCAGAAAGCAAGGTTAGGCAGTAGCCTGGCCTTAAATGCTTCCCGGCGCAGTAGCCCGGCCTTAAATGCTTCTCGGCGCCCTTGGCCATCTGCCGGGCGCTGTCCCTGAGATTTTCTACTGGCTTCACAAAGCAACGTGAGGCAGTAGCCCTGAGATTTTCTACTGGCTTCAGAAAGCAACGTTAGGCAGCAGCCTGGCCTTAAATGCTTCCCGGCGCCCTTGGCCATCTGCCGGGCGCTGTCCTGCAGATTTTCTGCTGGCGTCCGAAAGCCGTTGGTTGCCTATGCTTCTTTCTTTCCTTGGCTCGTCCAGCTCTTCTGTGCGCACGGGCGTCCCGCTGGTGTGGTGTGCTGCACGCGGATTCGGCCTGAGGCGCATGCCGACCACACGATCGCTCGGCACTGCGGGCATGTGTGCATATGTTTTCGCGTCGCATCGCTGACTTTGCCTGTCTTTACATAAAAATACATAAAACTGGTTGCCGCACACGCTGCGATGGTTGATTTGCCCAGTCATCACATTGCTGCTCACTTCGCCCGCGCAAAACGGGCACTGATACACCCTCTTCTTTCCTGCGACGCATCCATCTTTGACCCGAAAACGGTTGCCACAGTGCCTGCGGTGATTTACTTGGCCAGAACGCACACTGCTACTGACGGTAGCTTCACAAAACGGGCACGTGTAGTAGAATGTGGCGTCCGTGTTCGTTTGGGGACCGCACGCGGGGGGCACCTCGTGCGCGGCGTTCACGCCGCTTGCCGCTCGCGCAGGCCCTTCGCTGTCGAAGTCTGCGGCCGCAGTGGCTTCGCCCGTCGCGCCAAGTGTCGCCTGCGGGCTCGTCTTCAGCCTCTGTTCGGTTACTGCCGCTATTTCGCGTCGGCCAACACCCCTGGGGTCGGCGGCAGGGGGGCGGCAGCCCTTAAATATATAGTAGAGTGATTTTCCGTGATAAACCATATAAACCATGACACATACCTGCACAATAAACCGCGATATACCCAGGCCACTTTGATATACATTTTTTTGGTTGAGTGTGTTCCAA